CTTTTTCTTGTGCATCAAACACCAGCGAGACTCAAAGCAGTTTTGACGCAACAGCGATTTACAAGCATCAGGTTTCGCTTTTTAATGTTAAGTCCTTTGTTTGGTAAAGGCAACAAAAGCATTTAGTAGAGATCATTTTTCATTGGGGAATTTGATGAATTTCGAAAGGATTCGTTCTCCAATATCAGCAGTCAAAACAATAGCAACCCAACGACCGAGATCATCCTGCAGCATCATTAGCGCAAACAATGACAACAACACAAAAAACAAAATCGCTCGTTCACAGACGGGTTGGTTCACTGTCTAGCGAAGATCACAGCTCGTAATAAGCTTGTCAAAAATAAATCTAAGAAATGAATTAATCAGTATAATTCAGTTATCCTCCGGTTACTACCTGGGATGACGATTAGGTTGGGTTTTGGTCTTTTCTCACGTTTTCTCTCGTCGAAGCGTTTCGACGATATGCGTCCCAGAGTAGGGAATAGCGACGTTCTTGGTTCTGTCCACGCGATTCTTGCCCGTCTCTCCCCGGAATCGTTTCATCGCGTTCTTCCCTACTCTAGTGTTTCCGAAACTTGTTCCTCAGCCGAGTACCTCTCAAACGCATTTCTTCAACCAGTGGAAAAGATTTAGGCACATGTTGATGTCTAGCCAATGTTTAGTCATACGAAGTCACTTTCAGTGATTCAACAACAGGTTTGAACCGTGTTCAATGCCGAGAAGAGACAAAATCATGAAACTAACCCATTTGTGATTTCATTCGAAGCTCCTCTGTCGAACTTTGAATTGGCTGTGTTTACACAAAGTTGGCTTTTGTTCGTCTCGTGTTAGACATACACGAATAATCGGATCCAGTTGGTCCCCATCCATCGTCTTGTCTAAACAGATTGGACCTGGGATAGCCATATATATCAATATGTCACAGGATAGTCCGGCTCCTTGTGCATAACATGCATCCAAGTCGCGTGAAAATGAGAAGAACACAACCTGGAGCGGCCTGGCAGTTCCGATCACTACACTAAAAATCTTACACACCGGTGATTGTTGCACGGATCGGTGGGTTGTCAGCGCTGTATTGATTGAGACTAAGAAGCTAGACAGATAGACTGTAGAACAAGATGCCCCGATGCACTCATCACGGATGACTTCTTCGCTGTCTGCGCGTTGTCTGCTAAACTCCGCTCAATCAAATTTTCTACAATTCATTTACTCCAAGTTGTGCAGAATAGCGACGAGTAAAACTGGTCTGTGCTCCTGGAGGTTATTGAGATGCTTTAATGCTGAAAAAATAATTGTAAACTCCTGTGTGTATATTTTGAGTTTTCGTAAAAAATGTGAATACTACCTATCAGGTAGCAGTTCATGGGCAAGATTCCTCGTTGGCTAAGTTTATTTTATTCCTCCGATGGAAATAGACAATAGCAATAATAATAATATTAATGATAATAATAATAACTAACAAAATATCATGGTATCAGGGCTCCCTTCAACATGTTTTTGGTGTCCAAGTACCGATCAGCAATCCTTCTTCGAAAAAAGAGATTTTCATGGGTCACATTAATGGAGTTACCTGTTAACGATTAGCAAGTTGCTAAGCTCGAAATCCAGTGAATAAGCCAACCGATTTCTTAGCCCTTGATTGGTTCCGCACGGCAGTTGTTATACATAAACCTTATATGACTTTGTCGTACCATGAAGTAAATTTTGCCAGTCAAGATGAACACAAAAAGGTTAATGTTGCGAGTCAGTCACGCGAAATTCATTAGGTGACATGATTTGAATTATATGGAATTATTAGAGGGACCAAATTGAATAGAAATTGTCTGACTGTTTGCAAGACAGCCTAATGGTTTACAACCTGCAATTCTGCGCACTTATCAAAGCGCTCAAACTTTTGTTTTCCGAAAGCGCAACAATACCATATTTTACATATTTACACACGTTTGAATCCAGGTTGTGTAACAAACACATCATGGTACAATAATCTTTGTGAAAAAAGAAAAACGTTCCACGATTGCATGCAGACGGGATACTGTCAGGTTGCTCAGGTCAGGACAGGTGGACGTTTTTGAGGAATCCACATCCGGAGACTTTGGTAAGCCAAAGCCTGACCCACAAGGCAGCGGGGCGGTGTGCGAAAACTGCAGTCCATTGGGTGCCGGTGTTCAGTTCATCGGATCATACGCCCTTCTGACGGGGTCAAATGTCCAAGGTGCCCAATGCGCCTTGATGCCAAATCGAGCCGGTGACCACTACCACAACCAGAAAGTTGTGTGTGGTTCCTACACCTCTTCTTGGTTGGTTTGTAATCAGCGTTTTAGCCAACTCTCGCAGGTGAACTACCAGTGTTCCACCAACCCGATTATACCCCTGGATGTCGGCTTTTCGTCCTCTCACTTTAGTGGAAAAACATCTCCGTCACGAGAAGGCATTGAGTAGGACTTCCTTAGCAGAGACTATTTGAGATGCTTTGTCGTATTGCAGTATTGCGCGATATGCAGGGGAAGTGTGGCCAGCATCAATTCTAGACATCCACCATCCATACTGAGGCTTTTGGAGGCCACACTGAGAAGGAGATAATCAGGTCAACTCATTGGAACGGGGATTATTTTCACGAGAGTTCATGGTGGATGTCTTGCTCAGTTCTGTCCCTTGTTTGCCATCACTGAACTAGCGTTCACCTCATCCATGTCTTGTGGTGCATTAAGTGACGTATTGGCTTGTTTTTTTCTTACCAAAAGTAGTATTCTC